TTTTTTAGAAACCTGCTTTATATAGCTGATTTTTCAAATATATCTTGGCACATCCACTAGTGGTGGATAATTTGATTGGCTTTTTTATTTTTTGATTCCATGCAATCTCAAGGATTATTCCTTTTGTAAATAATGGAATAAGTACTCGTATTCAAATTTGCAGAACTGAACATTGCAGCTTTGCAAACCAGCACCATTGTTGGGAATGTTTTATAAATTCATTCATCCGTCTATTTCTCATGAGTGGATTATCTGCCCATAATTTTCCTTGTTGACTAACTGGTCCCAAACTGCAGGCAGCAGGCAAGCCAAGAAGGGGTCATGAGGGGTCCAGAAGGAGAGAGTGTGAATCTGTGTGTCTGACAGAAGCTTTGTTTACACGAGTGATAGGAAAAGCATTCCAGAATGCCTCTGACCTTAATTCTCAGTCAAGCTGATAAGATAGCCACAAGTCACTGTAGCTATGCTACTGTGTCTGTCTCCTTAAGACTTTGGCAGCCAGTTTGCTCAGAATTTATTCTCAGGGCTTTGTGTTCTGAAATGTTCCTAAACTAGATGCAGGGGTTCAGTTAGGATGTACTCCCAGCGTTCTATCTCTTTAAAAATTAAAGAACTTAAAACAAAGTCATTTTCTTTGGAAATCTTGAAAAATTTTTTATCCCTGCCATTATTTCTTCAAGAGCTGATCATACTTTTAAACTGCCCTAATGATAATTACTCAGTTGTTGAAATAAAATAACAAACTTTTTTCTCATGACTGCCTGCTGATATGCTAAATGGCTTCTCTCTGCTTTGCTTTTTTATTTTTTGGATTTGTTTTTTTGTTCCTGTTTCTCCCCCATCTTCACTTTGGAAAGTCAGCTGCCATTTCTACTGTTCTCAGCTTGCCTGACCATAAGTTAACTCTTTTTTTGTGGAACGTTCAGTATCTTGTGTGATTTGAAAAGCAAAGAATAAATATATTAAAGAATAAGCTGTCTCTAAATGAAAGACTGGAGTTCCCTGTACCCCACCTTTTAAGTAAATTAATTTTAGTACAGTCATTGTGATATCTCTCTCGGTTGGTTTCACAGAGAGCTTTTGCTTTGTTTCTTTCCCTGGGATCTTTTGACCACATCATCATATCTGTGCATGGCTAGTGTGTGTGTGTGTGTGTGTGTGTGTGTGTGTGTGTGTGTGTACAAGCACACACACATTTGCTGGTACATATGCAAGCTTACTCCTTTTTTTTTCTTAAGTTAAAGATAGCGAACTTATTTTTAATTGCATTATGTGCTATTTGAACTAAGTTTTGCTCACATAACATATCATGGATGCTGGGAATTGGCAGAATTAGGGTCCCCTGAGCAGAAATGCTCTCATTCTTTAGGAAAAAGAAAAGAAAAAAACAGAAATTGCTTAAATGACAAAAATAAGCAAATCTGAAGAGTGATTAATATAAAATAATATATAACAAGAGGTTATAAAATTATGTGAACTAAATAGAAAATTACATAGTGACCCTCAACCAGTTTTGATAAGAAAGTGTTTCTCCATAACATTTTAAACAGTTAAAAGCAATGTACCTTTATGTGATAAAGTAGTAGACTGAGAAGTTTTCCTTCTTGAAAATATATCCTTTGGAAACTTTTCTGCATGTTTTGTGTTTTATTGGAATCTGTCTAATATTTAGATTTTTGCCTGTCTGTAAACTTGGCTTATCTTTTTTTTTTTTTTTAATTTTTTTTTTTAAGGTTTATTTATTTTTGAGACAGAGAGAGACAGAGCATGAACAGGGGAGGGGCAGAGAGAGAGGGAGACACAGAATCGGAAACAGGCTCCAGGCTCTGAACTGTCAGCACAGAGCCTGACACGGGGCTCAAACTCACGGACCGTGAGATCATGACCTGAGCCGAAGTCAGACGCTTAACCGACCGAGCCACCCAGGCGCCCCTAAACTTGGCTTATCTAATGGCAAATTGAAGTACAAATAGAACTTTGGGTGTCTTTTAAAATTTGTTAGTAGTTTGGCCAACTTGGTCAGAAATCAGTCACTATCAGAAATCACAAAAAAACAATTAGGCAAACATAAATCAATAAGTTATCCAGTTGAAACTGCCAAAACTTTTTGTCATTCAAAATGTATGCTATGATATTATCAACCTCTATGTGATAAAACTGAATGCAGTAATTGAATGAAGAATAGATTTCTTTAGTTACTAATTTTTATATGTGGATAGTTAAAAGTAATAATGCCTGAGAGTTAAATGTATAGAACCTTAAACTCAGAAGCAAGACATGCTACGTATTTGCTTTGGAAAAAAGATGGTGATACTTAAAAAGTGAAATCCATCAGTATGTAATTTTTTCTTTTTGGTTGTGTTATCAGACGACCCCTTGGCTGGTTTATTACCATCCCCTACTTGGCCACTTCATACTTCTGGTTGGTTCCCTGCCAGTGTAAACACCCCCAGTATTAGCCTAGGTAAAGTTAACTTAAAAGGTAAATATGCTTCAGAAGATGATGAAACACTTCAAATCAGGTATAGTTTGGGGTTTTCCAACATTGTTTGAGTTGGCTCCTTTCCTGTAAATTCAACAGTCATGATTCACCTCTGCAGAAAAGGTAGTTTAAATTATTTCCCATCGTCATGTTTGTATGTTATAATCTGAAGTTGTAACATCCAGTTTTCAGTTTATAATTTAAGATGTTGACATATTTTCAGGAAATCTTTGGAAAGAGAAGACTTTGAAAAAATAATTACAGACCAAGCAATTGCAGCAGGTAATAGAATTGTTTAAGTATATGTAATGAAGGAGTAATTATACTTACAGAACTAATATTTTACCTATAAACTAATATTTTCTATTAGTAGAAAATATTTACCTGTAGAACTAATATTTTCACCTGAAAGGTGATTTCCAGTATGAAGTGTTCAATATTATGTATTGTGTTAACTTAAAGAATAATTGTGTATTTTTGTTTGACCTAAAACGTTTCCTCTTCTTTATGTGTGTCTGCTGAGAAGGAGATAAGGCTGCATGGGAAGCTGACTCATAGACATTTACATGCTTTGGCCTTGAACTTAAACTAAGTATTCCTCATTTATGCATGAGAAATTTTACTCAACAAACTAAAATAAAGAATTTTGTTTAAAGGTTGGAAACAATCGTGGGAAAAAGGATTAACAGAGTTCTCGTATTAATGGGTTTGAGGAAAACAAGTAGACGAGTAACTTTGTCATACTGGCCTTTTCAAAATTGGAGTGCATGGAGTAACGGGTTAAATCTTTCTGAAGGTACAAGGTATTAAGAATTTAAGGATGATGATGGTGATGGCAAACATCCTGAGCCCTTCCTGGGAGCCAGGCAGTATTCTAAACACAGTCCCAACACATCACAACGGTGCTGTGAAAGGGCATTATTGTCTTTGCAGTTACAGAGGAGAAAAAAAAAGATGACACACAGAATTTAAAAAATAAGAGATTGCGGAAGGAGAAGTTACAGGAAGTAAATATATTCCAAACAAATATTCTTCCAGGTAACACTAAACAACAAGAATGCTGTTTTGCTAAAAAACAAAACAAAAAACAATTACTTTCTGTCATATCTAGAGAAAAACGACAAATTGAGTTTCATGAGCAGTGATTTTAAATTCCTCTCTGACGTTCCTACTTCTGGGGGCCCTCCAGGTGGGACAGTACCCCCTTCATCAAGACATACTGTTTTTGCCATTAACAGAAAGGTGGGAGAGCTTTTTCTGAAATGAACTTGATTCTGTAAATTCTAGGTGTTCTTTTGTAAGAACCGTCTCTTAAGGGAGATTAAAAATTATGTGTTAGACTTAACTGATCATTCTTGTATAATTAACTGAGTGGGAGGTTTTTATTTGGAGCTACCAGGATTTTAGAAACTAATCCATGTAGATAATTTGAATATAGGTGGTTAATTTTGGTTGGAACTCTTGTTACCAGACTTAAAGGGAACTAAATCATCAAACAATGTTAAAAACAGTAGTAATGGTACAGCTCTTCCAAGAGGATCTGTTTGATATGGCAAAAAATGTATTATTTACTTTCAGGAGTTCCAGCAGAAATCATCAAAGAATCTCTCGGCGAAGAGCTTTTTAAAATATGTTATGAGGAAGATGAACACATCTTAGGTGTGGTTGGAGGAACCCTCAAAGATTTTTTAAATAGCTTCAGCACCCTTCTGAAACAGAGCAGCCACTGCCAAGAGGCAGAAAAGAGAGGCAGGTTCGAGGACGCTTCCATTCTATGCCTGGATAAAGATCACAATTTCTTAAATGTTTACTATTTTTTCCCTAAGAGAATCACGTCTCTGATTCTTCCTGGCATCATTAAGGCAGCTGCTCACATTTTGTACGAAACCGAAGTGGATGTGTCACTGATGCCTCCCTGCTTCCGTACTGAAGGCAGCGAGTTCGTTAATCAGCCCTATTTGTTATACTCGCTTCACGTCAAAAGCACCAAGCCATCCCTGTCCCCGGGCAAGCCCCAGTCCTCGCTGGTGATTCCTGCTTCCCTCTTCTGCAAGACCTTTCCTTTTCATTTCATGTTCGACAAAGACATGACAATTCTGCAGTTTGGCAATGGCATTAGAAGGCTGATGAACAGGAGAGACTTTCAAGGAAAGCCTAATTTTGAAGAGTACTTTGAAATTCTGACTCCAAAAATCAAGCAAACGTTCAGTGGAATCCTGACCATGTTGAACATGCAGTTTGTGGTCCGAGTGAGGAGGTGGGACAACTCTGTGAAGAAATCTTCCAGGGTAAGGAGAACGGAATAGTGTTTTGAATATGAAATAAGTCACTTCTTGTTTAAGGACTAGAATCAAAAAGGTAAAAATATATGCATCACTTCAAATGTGTTGATAAAACATTTATGTTTAAGGCAAGTCTGACATAATTTTAAGGCTGAGATCAATTTAAAGCAAAATCCTTTTTGCAATCATTGGCTTGCTTACTTGATTTATTACTTCACAAACATTTATTGAATGCAGTGTACCTTTTAAAATCCTTTCAGAGTATTTTATAAACCAAACTAGATAAATATGTATTTAAACATATGTTTTCAGTTATCACCAAATAGCTGACAGTTTGGGGTAATAGGAAGCATTATTCTACAACAAACACACAAAAACTACTTGTTTCTAATTGGAGGTGACTAAACGGGTTTTTTAATCAATATTTAATAGACATGGAGAGGGGCGCCTGGGTGGCTCAGTCGGTTAAGCGTCCGACTTCGGCTCAGGTCACGATCTCGCGGTGTGTGAGTTCAAGCCCCGCGTCGGGTCTGTGCTGACTGCTCAGAGCCTGGAGCCTGTTTCAGATTCTGTGTGTCCCTCTCTCTCTGACCCTCCCCCGTTAGTGCTCTGTCTCTCTCTGTCTCAAAAATAAATAAACGTTAAAAAAAAATATTTAAAAAAAAATAGACATGGAGGATCACTAACTTTTTTAATTGTTAGAGGAATGTTGGGAGGGTTGTTCTGATGGTAGAGAACTTTGGTAAGCATTTAGTCTAAGGAAAGAGTTTGCAAAATCATAGTTGAGGGTACATAAGTAAAGCCAACAGTCAGGCTTATGATGGATATCACTTTGAAACATGCACAATTCCAGGAGTTGTGCATTTTTTTTCCCAAAGTGAAAACAGTTTTACTACTTCTTATCATAAAAAATAATGCCGGTAGATGTTCAAAATAGGTAATACTTAAAGACGTTCATTGCAGCAAAAAAATCAAAGACGTTAATTATATACATTTTCGGGATAGATCAAAACAAAATCCTACTTGCCACTTCCTTTTTCTCGCTAAACAATATTTGGGGCACTCTTCCATGTCAGGAGGTATTGGTCTATTTCACTTTCACAACGGCCACAGAGAATCCCATTGTATGGTTATCCTCTACTTTATTTAGCCAGTCCTATCGGAGGACATTTGTGTTGATTTGGACTCTTTGCTGCAGTGAACACACATATACATATTTGTTCACCCTCATAAAGTAAATCTGGTGTCCCAGGATGATCACCTAACGCCTCAGCTCTCTCAAGGCTTCCTTGGTACAATCCTTCACGCAATCTGCTATCAAAGGAATATAATAGCAAAAGCATCAGCATTCCCCCTAGTGAGAAGGCCTTGAGGCAAGAATTTTTTGCACTGCTTATTGGAAATCATGATCTCTGTGTAGAGTTTCTCCAGTCTATCTGTTCTTCAAATGTCTGCATGCATTTTAGGACGCACAGTAAATGAGAAGTATAGAAAGCATATTGTTCCTTCTCTGCAAGTGGTAGCAATCAAGTTTAAATGCAAAGGGAGTGTCGCTGTATCTAATGCCTTTCCTTTTGTCTCAGAAAGGTGTTGAAAACTTGGATAAACCATGAGAGTTGGCTTTGCCTTTGCTTCACAGGTGATGGACCTCAAAGGCCAGATGATCTACATTGTTGAATCCAGTGCAGTCTTGTTCTTGGGCTCACCCTGTGTGGACCGATTAGAAGATTTTACGGGACGAGGGCTCTACCTCTCAGACATCCCGATTCACAATGCACTGAGGGACGTGGTGCTGATAGGGGAGCAGGCCAGGGCACAGGACGGCCTGAAGAAGAGGCTGGGCAAGCTGAAGGCCACCCTTGAGCAGGCCCACCAAGCCCTGGAGGAGGAGAAGAAGAAGACCGTGGATCTCCTGTGCTCCATATTTCCCTGCGAGGTTGCACAGCAGCTGTGGCAAGGGCAAGTCGTGCAAGCCAAGAAGTTCAGTGATGTCACCATGCTCTTCTCAGACATCGTTGGGTTCACCGCCATCTGCTCCCAGTGCTCTCCGCTGCAGGTTATCACCATGCTCAATGCACTCTACACTCGCTTTGACCGGCAGTGCGGAGAGCTGGATGTCTACAAGGTAGGGGTGGAGGAGCGCTAGGCCCGTTTTACAGGCAAAAGTCACTGAAAAAAAAGCTCTGCAACCAGGTCTCCAGTTACAAGGCAGACAAAGGGCTTTCTCTGCAGGGCTACACAAGCCGCAACCTGGGAGCCGGCATTGTGCATTAATCATGTGGGTGTTCTCTAGCCAGAAATAGCCCTGAATCTGCTCAGAAACAGAGATCGTTATTCCACGAAAGGACTGACACATTGTCTTCTCAGATAAGAGGCACAGAATGTAGGGGTGATTGACTGAGTGGAGGATGGGGTATAGGACCCCTGAGCAGGTACAGTTTAAGTTAACTGGGGCTGGTGGCGCAGCGTCGGCAGCCATTCTCCGACTTCAGCCAGGTCACGCATCCGCTGTCTCCGTGGAGTTCGAGTCTCCCTCGTTGGGTCCGGGTTTGGCTGATGGCTCGGAGCCTGAGCCTGTTTCCCGCATTCTTGTACTTTCTCGCCCTCCCTGCTCACATGCTCTGTCTCTCTCTGTCCCAAAAATAAAAATAAAAAACGTTGAAAAAAAAAATTTAAAAAAAAAAAAAAAAAAAAAAAGAATCAGTGAACCTGGGGGCACCTCTGCTTGCTCAGTCGGTGTTAAGCGTGCTGACTTCTTCCTTTCAGGTCATGATTCGGAAACCGCCGGAGTCTCCCCGCCAGCGCGCCAGCTCTGCTGACAGCTCAGAGCCTGAGCCTGTTTCAGGTTCTTAGGCTCCCCTCTTCTCTGACCTCCCCCCTTCATACATGCTTTCACTTCTGTCTCAAAAATAAATAAATGTTAAAAAAAAAAATTAAAAAAAAAAACAAGAATCAGTGAACCTGGTACTAGACTGTGGCAACTGAGTTATTAGGCGAGAGATGATTCTTAAATATGACTTGTATGGGGAAGATTTATCCTTTATAAAAATAAAAGTATATAAGAAACATGAATATTATATGATCTTTAAATAGATTAACTCACCCCGCTTCAGACTCTATCCTAACGACACGGAGCCTGCTTGGGATTCTCTCTCTACCTCTCTCCCTCCCCCTCCCCCACTGTGCGTGCTCTCCCCCCTCCCAACCTTTTTCTTTCTCAAAATAAATACATAAACTTAAAGAAATAAATAGACTAACTAAATACAGAGTTAACATGATAGTTTGCATGGCTGATTAGGAGGGGAAAAAAAACCCTACTTAAGGCATTATTGAAGAGACCAAGGGCAGAGATGTCTGAAGAAGAGAGTCTGTCTTCAAATCTTGTTCTCTACTTTGTAAGCTGGGAAAGTCAAGTAGCCTTTCCCATTTCTTACACAGAGAAAGTGATATCCGCCTACAGAGTTTATACGCATGAATAACATACATTATGTCCCATTATCTTCATGAACAAGACTGTTCTAAAGATTATGGAAAATAACATCGGTTATCCACGATGCAGCAGGATTTCTTGAGTGCTTACCACGCATCACTCTAGGCACAGGGAGGCACAGTAATTATCCCTAATGGGTAATAAACTTTTTAAAATGTAACTTTATTAGCAATAAGAGAACTAATAAGGTGATTTGGGGTTCCGTGTTTTTAGAATTAAAACATTTTTACTAATTTAAAGTATTTTGCATTATTTTAGCTATTGGCATTAAGAATCTTCCTTCCCGTTTGTGTGGCTTGACTCACCTTTTAGTTTCCCGCGTAACAACCTGACATTTCAGAGCTTTGCCCGACAAGAAATAAATACAATTATTGAGGAGAAAACAAATACCATTTGTGGGAATACATAAGCTTCTGCTTTGTTCCAATCTAGATGCGAGAAGTAAAGCCTTCCTTTTTAAAATATCTAGCAGGAAATTCCAGACTGAACCATGATTCCCTTGGGAAAAAAAGAGGTCCATGTATAATTACAGATAAAATAATTGGCTTCAGTTAGGTTAAGCTTGACGGCCTCTTGTGGAATTGACTGTATTTGTTTGTAGACAGTTTCTATCTTGATATTGTCTCCTCTCGAAACTGTGAGAAGAAATTCGTGGTCTCCTTTGCAACTGCTGTGATTGCTTGCAGGAGTAGCAGCCCTTTTCTACAGATTTCGAATTGTTGAAACTGAAACACTGTGGTTATTCCACCTTTTCTACAAATTTCGAACTGGTGAAACTGAAACACTGTGGTTATTCCAATCAAGTTTTCAGGATCTGTGCTCCTTGCTCCAAGGATAGTAGCCACAGAGTTCCCTGGTTAATCCAACCACAACCCAAGCTAGATAGGGAACCATCTGCTCTGCCCTTATTTCCACCTTCTCTTCACTTCTGATTTTGCATGAAAATATCTGAAGGCAGCGGTGAAGACATCAGGAAGGGTCTTAACCATGAGATAAATGTAAGATATACAGAATGTATCATCACACGCTCACCTGTGCGTGTGATGGCTTCCAAGGAATAGTTGAACTTTTCTTTTCCAGGACCTGTTTGTTTCAGGACTTTATTTAATTTCATTTGCTTATTGTCCTTCAGCCTTGTCCATTTTTCAGTTGATTCAGTATTCATTTATTGGTTGTTTTGGCAAATATTTCCTGCCATCTAGCATTGGCCAGCATGAGTAAGAACATCTCATATGTGGAAGGAAAGGAGGGTGGGGCTGACCGATGCCCGATCTCTATGACCTGGTGAATGCCCGAACCCAAACACACGTGGACAAGGTGCTATAATAGCATAGAGAGTAGGCATCGAACACCAAGGAGTGAGGGCACCGCTTCTTCCGATTAGTGACACGTACTGAGCACCGGAGATATGTTAGACATTATTTTAGGCACTTCCTATGTATTCACTGAGGAAAATCTTATAAGAGGCACTACCGCCTGGTACATTCATTAGCAGATATCTGGGTACTGGTAATTCAGGAGTTAATAAAACGGACAAACTCAGAGAGCTAATATTCTACGGGGGGGAAAGACAGAAAAGAAACAAATGAGTATATTTTATAGTATTCCAATTGGTGTAATATTCTGGATAAAGTTAAAGGAGGAGAAGTGCAGAAGGTAAGGGGTGATTGCTACTTTATAGAAGGCAGTTGGGACAGGCATTTCTCAGATGGTGATGTTTAGCAGGCACTGAAGGAAATGAGGGACATGCCAAGTGAGTATCTGCAGGCAAAGGAATAGCAAGCAGGAACATGTTTGGTATGTTTGAGGGATAACATGAGGCCAATGGCACTGAGACAAAGTGAGCAAGGGAGAGGATTAGGAAATAAAGTCAGAGATTCGCAGACACGTTAGGAGAACTTTGGAGGTGTTATAACAGTTTCAACATTTATTCTGAGGAGATGGAGAATCACCGAAGATTAGTCTCCCTTTTTTTTTTTTTTCTCTCATCTCCATCCCTCCATATTGGAGGGTTTGGAGAGGAGGAATGATATGATCTGATAAGCTATCATAAATATTTAGAGGAGGAAATGCAATGATTAAAATTGGGTGGATTGTTTGTAGATTTAAATTAACCGGTAGCTTTGTCATCAGCATCACAGACATAAAAATCACTTCTTACAACAACAGCAGTGACAATGATAATACTCGGAATTTATCAAACAGCTTAAGTTTCAGTAGCCTTCCAAGAACCGTTATTTGACATCTTTCTCGGTTTCTATACTTTGTGATTAATATTCATGTAGACACTTAGAGTTGCTATGAGAACCTCCAAATCCTTTAGAAGAGCTAAAATGTCTCAGTTTTATGTCGCACATTCTTACTAAATTCATATGACATTGATTGAGTGGTGACTGTTCAAAATACTTCAGGCTAAAAGGATATAAAGTCAGCAAGTGATTCCAATGATCTTTATCTCTGTTATAACCCAAAATATCATTTACATAGCATCACTTGCCTCTAAAGAGCCATTTTACATGGTGAGGGGGAAAAAGGTGAGTTGATGGATGTATTGACTCAGCAGCAAGTCTGGAAGTAGAAGCCACCTCCTAACGTTGGGCTTGCAGGACCCCACTGCCCTTCGGAGCAGTGCCTGATATAAGGCATCTAAACTTTATGAATTTCCCGAAAGGGAAAGCCATTGCTGAGTGTATCCGATTTACTCTGATTTCCTATAGGACCCAAACACTGAGATTTTCTGCTCTCTGATGTGCACTCTAATTCTTTCTGAACTCGTAATATGGAATATCTGTTCTGTGTAGGTGGAGACCATTGGCGATGCATATTGTGTGGCTGGGGGATTACACAAAGAAAGTGATACCCATGCTGTTCAGATAGCACTGATGGCCCTGAAGATGATGGAGCTGTCTGATGAAGTTATGTCTCCCCATGGAGAACCTATCAAGGTAAGGCAGATAGATATTGTCCGGGAAGTGTCACAGAGAGTGAATGCTTTTTAGTTACCCAAAGAATAGTGCATCCCTCAGGGTTGACGGAGAGCAAAATCTCTAACTTGTGGAAGCGAGAAGGAATGTACTCGGGGGTATCGAGTGGCTTACAGAACTATCGAGAGAGCTAAAGAAGCCATCTATACATTCAACCTTCACAAAATGGCTCCCAAAGCGGCACTTCAGAAACCATTGTTTTTCCCAGGATCAAGAACCTGGCTCCAGCACCATACCTCCACAGCCACAGTCAGGAAACTGCTGTGTTCAGAAAGCTGCTGCCTCCATTATTGGCTGCAGAACAAAACTGCACTTACTATAATTTGAATCAGTAACGTGGAAATTCTGCATCATGACCCTCACAGAATGAATGACGTCCACAGAATAAAGACGTCCACAGTTGTGCTTGCACTTGGAGGCCGTCGCAGCAGAAATTCTGGCTTCCAGACCTCTTGTGAGTGTATCAGATTCACCAAACCTCAGTGCGCCTAGAAAATGCAAGGGCGTTGGGAAAGTGTAATTTTTGGTTTTCCAGTCCCTGCAGGGGAGGCCGTTACACTACAACGAAAATCGACCGCTAATCCACCAATATTTTCCAAAGCCCGTGGCACTCTGAAATGTCTAAATTATCTCAGAATAATGTCTTACTGCAGATGAGAACCTAAAATTACCATGCTAGGCATTGGTTTAATAGAACACAAGAAGATTACCTTTATTTGTCCTACTTACATTGAATCTGCCACTTAATTTTTGTTGGACGGTCCTTAACTGATGACCTTCAGAAATGCGCCTTTGAAATAGTACAGAATCCTATCTGGCATGCTATAAGATATAGAGAAAAGAAAGAAAAATGCAAAATACAAAAACATAGTCTTGGTGCTCTTCGTAATAGAAGCCATATGTCTGAGCCCAGCCCTTTTCTCCTCCTTGCCCTGCCACCCCATGGATTAGAATCAGAGTGAAAGAATAGGAAATATTTCCTTTTTCCCCCTCAAGCTCTATGTGTTTCTCCAGCATGCCATGTGTATAAATCCTCTATCACTGTTGATTTCCTTACTGACACCCTCAACTCTGGCTTAGAAAACTGCAGGTGGAGTGCTGATAGAAGCCAGAGCGCTGAATGTGGCAGGGAAAGTCAGTGAGTGCAAAGTGACCATGGAAACAGACTCCTGTTAACCCCCTTCCTGTTCCCAGATGTCCATGATGGGACGTGGGCTGCATCAAAAGTGGTCCCCAAATGGAAGATGCCCCCGACAGGTTTCCAGTCAGGGCTTGATGTGCATCTTAAATTTGGGATCATTTACTTGTGAATTTGAAATGAATTTGTGAATTTGCTTGTGAATTTGAAAAGTTCCCTGATAAGAAAGCTGTGGAGTTAAGAGTGAAATTTAGAACTGGAGAAGGGGAGAGAGGGAGGGAGAGCAGCATGGGAGGAACTGGGTATTTATCCAAAGGATACAAAAATGCTGATTCGAAGGGGCACATGAACCCCAATGTTTATAGCAGCACTTTCAACAATAGCCAAATTATGGAAGGAGCCCAAGTGTCCATTGACTGACGAATGGATAAAGAAGATGTGGTTTATATACACAACGGAATATTACTCAGCCATCAAAAGAATGAAACCTTGCCATTTGCAACAATGTGGATGAAACTAGAGGGTATTATGCTAAGCGAAACAAGTCAGTCAGAGAAAGATAAATAGCATATGATTTCACTCATATGTGGAATTTAAGAAACAAAGCAGATGAACATAGGGGAAGGGAAGGAAAAATAAGATAAAAACAGAAGGAGGCAAACCATAAGAGACTCTCGAATACAGAGAACAAACTGAGGGTTGCTAGAGGGGTGTTGGTTGGGGGTATGGGCTAAATGGGTGATGGGCATTAAGAAGGGCACTTATTGGGATGAGCAGTGGGTGTTATAAGTAAGTGATGAATCACTACATTCTGCTCTTAAAATCATTACTACACTATATGTTAATTGGCTTGGATTTAAATAAAATCTGTGAAAAAAAATTTTTAAAGAAGAAACTAGAATAATTAAGTACACAGAGAGAAACTGGTTTAACCAGAAGAGTGCCCCAAAAGAGCAGAAACTTCTTGATTGAAGTATGCTAAAATTGTGTTTGACATTTATACACAGAAAATAGCTTTTTGTTCATATTGATCAGTTGGTAGATGTGTAAAACCATATTGTCCATAAAGAAGAAAATGCTAGAGGTAACATGTCTAAGTTTTGCTGATTAAAATGAGACTGACGAAGAAGGGACTGTAAAACTAATTCAATCCTCTATTTTATGGATAAGGAAATAATAAGAGGGAGATAAAGAGACTTACAGAAAGTCAGACCGTCAGTTATTAGCAAACTTTGGTTGAGAACGCAGATCTCCTGATTTAGAATTTGGTGCTTTGTTTGAAAATTTTGCAGAATTCATATTTGACACCTTCGGAACAAATGATCCTAGAACGTTGTTAGCAAATACCAAAAATTTGTTGCAAAACTAGGCAAAACTGGAGTCGTCTTTTTTTTTTTTTTCAACATTTATTTATTTTTGGGACAGAGAGAGACAGAGCATGAATGGGGGAGGGGCAGAGAGAGAGGGAGACACAGAATCGGAAACAGGCTCCAGGCTCTGAGCCATCAGCCCAGAGCCTGACGCGGGGCTCGAACTCACGGACCGCGAGATCGTGACCTGGCTGAAGTCGGACGCTTAACCGACTGCGCCACCCAGGCGCCCCTGGAGTCGTCTTGAATAACATCTAAATTGTTGAGTACTTGGCCTTTGTTTAAAATTCATATATAATGTAACTTTTTTTTTTTAAATGGTCAACTAAACATAGGACTTGAAAATAATGAACACGGTGTCTGATTGTGATATAAAACATCCCCACTTGAACTTGCCGAGTTGTAGCAGCAATTTAAGAATTTGCGCATCCTCTAAGATCATCAAGAATTCAGATCTTCTGGAAGATGCAAGTTTAAGATACTGTTTTAATTGTTCTCCAAATCACTGGTAACCTTCAGAATTCCTAAACTTTTACGCCAACATTTCCCGGACTGCACCTCATATCTAGATATGGCACAACCTGGTTTTCTGTGCGTCCAGGTGTGTTTAACAACAGTGTTGATATAGTCACTGTGATGCGGACCTAAGCAGCTCCCGCTCTGCTTCCTCTGTCATTTTCTATGAAAACATCACAGTGCCTTTCTTCTTTCCTGTGAGTCATTTGAACAGTAGGGTAGTGTTTGTCTTAAAGTTCTTTTTATTCTTTCTTTTCTAAGAGCTGGCTTCTCTTGCCCTTCTCTGACAGCGCATTGGGAAACAACACCTGGGGTCCAGGAATTATGTCTGTCTCACCTGATGGACAGAACAGGTTCACGTAAACTGCCTATAGACCCTTTGTCTTGTCACTCTGGTGACTGTGATGGGTATGTGTGGAAATGTGTTTCAGACACTGAAGGCAGGTGCAAGATGCCTTGTTTAGACGTAGGTGCTTAATGGAGAAGAGTTGAGAAGTGTGATTGATTTTGCACTAGTAATGTTTTTTGTTTTTTTTTTTTTTTTAAACGTTATTTTTGAGAGAGAGAAAGAGACACAGGGAGAGAGAGAGAGAGAGAGAGAGAAAGGGAGGGAAAAGGAGAGTGGGGGAGGGGCAGAGAGAGGCTCCGAAGCAGGCTCCACACTGTGAGCGCAGAGCCTGATGTGGGGCTCAAACTCAAGAACCTTGAGATCAGGACCTGAACTGAAATCAAGAGTTGGCCGCTTAACTGGCTGAGCCACCCAGGCGCCCCCCCGTACTAGTAATTGGATGCGAAAAGAAGGAAGTTGGCAGGAGGTGTTGCCGAGGGAGGAATGGTGTAGCGACAGCAAAAGGCAAAATCATTCAAACAGCGTTTGGGGCACCTGGGTGGCTCAGTCAATGGAGTTGAGTGTCTGACTCTTGATTTTGGCTCAGGTCGTAATCTCATGGGTTTATGAGATCGAGCCCCATGTCAGGCTCTGTACTGACAGCAAGGAGCCTGCTTGGGATTCTTTCTCTCCCCCCCCCCCCCCCCCCCCCCCCGCCCCTACCCTGAGTGCTCATGTGTTTTCTCTCAAGATAAATAAACATTAAAAAATAAATAAATAAATAAACAGCAGTTGTACAATACCGACTAGCAGGAAACATTTTACCGACGGTGAGGACCCCGTGTTACTTTTTGCCTTCAGATGCGGATTGGACTACATTCTGGGTCAGTTTTTGCTGGAGTCGTCGGCGTTAAAATGCCTCGTTACTGTCTTTTTGGAAACAACGTCACCTTGGCAAACAAATTTGAGTCCTGCAGCGTACCACGGAAAATCAACGTCAGCCCGACAACGTACAGGTACTGTTTGCACTGAATGCCTGAAATCTATTATTTTTATTGATTCAGAGTTGTTGTATCTTTCCCATTGGTTTCCTTCATCCTCCATGACATTTTCTTGCTTAGCTAATCTTGCGAGGAAAAGGAACGCAATGACTTTATCATCCTCACTTTTTTTAAAATTACCCATTAGCATCATGAGAACAACCGTCCTGAGATATTTGTAGCCCAGCTGTAATCCTTGATGCACATCCTGTTTTCCCTCGCTATTCTTTCCGAAGCATGTGTTAATGCTCTCCGTGCTTTGACGGCTAATCTGACCAGTACAGTAGCTAACTGCCAGAGTTAGCATGGTCCCCACAAGTTATAGGGCACGGTCCTCAACATATCCTTAAATTCAGGTGTCAGACAAGGATACGTTTCATCTCATTTTAGGAATCCAATCATAGGGGCGCCTGAGTGACTCAGTCAGTTAAGCGTCCAACTTTGGCTCAGGTCAAGATCTCACAGTTCATGAGTTTGAGCCCTGCATCCGGCTCTTTGCTGACAGTTCAGGGCCTGGAGCCTGCTTCAGATTCTGTGTCTCCCTCTCTCTCTGCCCCTCACCTGCTCATACTCTTTCTCTCTCAAAACAAATAAACGTTAAAAAATTAAAAAAAAAAAAGAATCCGATCATAATGAAAATGCTTGAATAACAAAACGCTTTCCAGATATGTGTGGTAGCTGATTTATCAAACTACACCAAGCGAGTTGTCTTTTCTATTCTCAGAGACAAATATTTTATAGCATCTTCTTTCTCCTTAAAACTCCACAACCTTTCCTTTCCGGCCCTAATTCTAAGTTGATAACTTCACTTCATATTTCACAGGAAAAGAAAAAAAAATGCAGTCAGGTAAGCACTGTACCACCTTCCCGGGCAGATCCCATCAGCCTAGCTATCCCGGTACCCTGGTCTTAGGACTTCATTCCGGTGGCCAGTGACTGTGTACCAGCTGCCCAGCTCCTTTCCAGATGATCCCTCCAGGTTTGCTCTGAGTGCCGCTGCTTCTCATCTTCTCTAAAACTTGCCTTCTGAAAATACCTGCTCTCCCTCTATGATTAAATTCTCGGGTGAAACGATTATTCCCATCAGAATATAGACATATCTTACTATTAAAACTCTTAAAATAGTTGCTTCCTTGTTTCCCAGTGTATCTCAGCTACTCCTCTATATTTCTGCCCCCTTTTCCAACAAAACTCCTTGCGAGAGCTGTCTATGTTCACGTTTCTACTTTTTTACCTCCCGTTCGCCCTTCTACTCACTCCGATCAGTGTTTGTCCCTTGCACCCCACTGAAATGGTTCTTATCAAGGCCGTCAGTGTTGCTTGCTAAAATCGTGGTCGATTCTCTCCCCTTATGTCCCTCAACATCTGGCAACTGAAGAGCTTGAGAACTCCCTCCTTTAAACATTTTCTTCCTTAGGCTGTGACACCACACTTAACCCGGTTTTCTTATTACCCCGTGGCTGCACCTTCTCAGTGTCTCATGTCGGTACTCTTTCCCTACCGAACCTTCGAATGTTGGAGTGCCCAAAAGCTCTGTCCCTATTCTCTTCTTTGTCTGAACTTTATTGACTCACCTTTTCTCTTCTCTCTAGCCCATCCCACAATTCTCCACCGAGCTACAGATTCATGTATCATATTTTATATTTCTACTTGGATGACTAGTCGACACACTAAAATTAACATGATAGTCTTAGAACAAGTGATTTCCCACACACTCCAATCTGATGAAATGAATCCACTTCGCACTCCGCTTTATCAGTGTCCTTAAAATGGCACCACCGTCGATTGTGTTACCTAGACTATAAACCTCAGAGTGATCGTTGCTTTCTCCCCCTTACAGCTCACCACCTCCGCCTACAATTAAATACCCCGAATACATCTTTTTTTGACTTCCTTCAGTACTACACCCCAAGGCAAGCCTCCTTCATCTGTTCCACCTCAGCCAACCAAGGATCATCCTCACTCTTCGGCTCGCTTTCTTGCTCACCTCCTCCCCGCAGTTCATCCTGCACACAGTAGCCAGACTATCTTCCTGAAGTACAAGTCAGATATCATCATTCCTGTGTTAAAAACCCTCTAATGGCTTCCCGTGGCAGCCGGAATGAAATTTAAATTTGTTACCACAGACTAAAATGTCCTCTTTGATCAACATCCTGCCAGCCTGTGTCACTTGATTTTCTTCCATTTTTTTCCGTCACTCTCTGATACCCGGCCACCCTGGCCTTACTTTTATTCATCAGACTTCCTAAACCCTTTCCTGAATCGAAGATACTGGCTATTCCTCTGCTTCCCACTCCTTTCCTAGATCATCGTATGTATTCTTCTTTCTCATAATTAGACCTAAGTCAAATATCCCCTCTTCAAAGAGACACTCCTGGGGTGCCTCAGTGGCTCAGTCGATTGAGCGTCGGACTCTTGATTTAGGCTCAGGTCGTGATGCCAGGGTCATGAGCCCACGTTGGGCTCCATGCTGAGTGTGGAGTGCTTATGATTCTCTTTCTCTCTGCCCCTCCCCTGCTCATGTGCACCACCCCCCAAAAAAACAAAAGACACTCCTTCACTGTTATACTTAGAGGAACAACTTTCACCTCACACACCTCACGTTATCTTATTTTTTTCATCTTCTCAGCTCATATCTGTGTCTGAAATGTTGTTTTCTTTATGTGTTTATTGCCTGCCTCCCCTTGTAGAGTGTCAGCCTCCTGTGGTAGACATTTTCTCTCCCTAGTTCCCAGATCAATGCCTGGCACACAGTAGTAGGAAAGTAGTGAGTATTTATTGATTGACTGTCCACGCTTTGATACGAAAATGAGTCACTATCCATGAGAATTGGAAAACTTCCTAGGGATTATTGTAATGGTAACAGACCTGTAGGCTTCCCTGGTAAACCAGGAAGGGATGAGAACTCCTGTCCTCAGGATTTGACTTTGCTTTCTTTGGAGGATTGGAGAGTAAGAATCCTGTGATCACATGACTAGTTGCTAGTCCAGTCACTGCTGGTGAGTGTTCAATAACGTCATACAGGTGCACATGCACGTTGAGGAGTCCGTGTGTGTGTGTCTATCCTTAAAACCAAACCTTTGCATATAGAAAAAGCGATTTTCTGTTTCTTCTGATTGTCTTTAAGCAGCATAAAAGAAAATCTTCCTTCGTTTCATATCTCAAAGTCTGGTTGTCTTGAATCTTGATAGGAAACATTGATATCAGCTATTCATTTTACTCCCAAAACGTAATATAGGATCTCTTGTCTTCCAACAGAGGATCATGACATTTTGATATACATATTCGGCAACAGGATAAGGTCCATAGCTTCAATCCTTAAATTCACCATGTTGGCCATGTTACTAGACTTACTAGATGTGCAAAAACAGGAGTTTACACTACAGTGTTACCTTTTATTAATAAAATATCTTGTATTATAATAGTAACCTATGCTTATTTTAGAAAATTTTTTTCTAAAAAATTTATATTATATATATTTGCATATATATGCATATTTGCATATCAGAAAGTTATATTTGCATATCAGAAGTTACATTTGCATATCAGAAAGTTATACGTAAATAAAAATAACTCATAATTTCAGTATCCAGAGACAGTATTCACTTTTTTGTTTTTTTTTTAATTATTTCTTAGTATGTGTTTATATACACATATATAAATGATAATGAAAACTTAATCGATAATGAGCATCAATGCATTTGCTATTTTTATTTCTATCTGTTATAAACAAATATGGTATGCTTTTCTTTCCTTTTTTCTGTTTCAAGTTTTTATTTAAATTCTAGTTAGTGTATAGTGTAATATTAGTTTCAGGAGTAGAATTTAATGACTTCTCACTTACCTGTAACACCCAGTGTTCATCACAAGTGCCCCCTCCCTTTTTGTTTTTAAGTTTATTTATTTGAGAGAGAGAGAAAGACAGCATGAGTAGGGGAGGGGCAGAGAGAGAGGGAAAGAGAGAGAGAGAATCCCAAGAAGACTCCGCATTGCCAGCACAGAGCCCAATGCCAGGATCAGACTCATGAAACCTTGAGATCATGACCTGAGCCGAAAATGAGAGTCAGATGCTTAACCGACAGCCACCAAGGCACTCCAGAAGTGCCCCCAACCTTAATACCCATCACCCATTTAACCCATCCCCTGCCCACCTTTCTTCCAGCAGCCCTCAGTTTGTTCTCTATGGTTAAGAGCCACTTGTGGTTTGCCTCCCTCTCTGTTTTATCTTATTTTTATTTTTCCTTCCCTTCCCCTATGTGTATCTGGTTTTTTTTCTTAAATTCCACATATGAGTGAAGTCATGTACTATTTGTCTTCCTCTAACTGGCATTTCATTTAGCATAATACACTCTTGTTCCATCTACTTTGTTGCAAATGGCAAGATTTCATTCTTTTTGATGGCTGAGTAATATTCATATATATATATATATATATA